GGGGGGGTTGGAGCACCTGTCCCCTCCAATGCGCAAAGATGTTCCATTAAGGGAATCCAAGGATTCGCCATGCTTTTGTCGACCCCTTTTGAGGGGTAGGGCCATGCAAGAGTCCCTGGGAGCATTTGGGGTGAGCTTGAGTCTGATCCTGGTTCATTGCTCCCCCATGCTGTTTACTGGAACTGACGATATGGTGGGGCCCAGTTGTCAGTGCTGCCCTGCTGAGGTCAGGTGCAGTTAGTTGGGACCCAATGCCTAGACAAACTACCACCGAGCAGGCCAGAAAGCATGTTAATAAGGCGGTGGATAATAGAATAAAATAAAGAAAATAAATAAAGTTAATAAAATAACAAATAAAATAAAATAGGTCCTTGCTTTAGGTGGTTCTGTAATATTGCACCCTCCTAATTTTCTTCAAGGCTGTTGCCCTCTTTAGGGCAGATGGGGTGCATCTGTCCCCTATGGGGAACGACACCTGGCGGGATGCGATTGCCTTGGGATTCATTGCTCCCCCACAATGTTTGCTGGTACTGACGATATGGTGGGGCCCAGTCGTCAGTGCTGCCCTGCTGAGGTCAGGTGCAGCTAGTCGGGAACCAATGCCTAGACAAACTACCACCAAGAAGGCCGGAAAGCATGTTAATAAGGCGGTGGAAATAAAATAATAAGGCGGTGGAAATCGAATGCATTCAAAGGTTATGTTCGTTAACATTATTGGTGTCTTACAATTTTTGCTTGTTTTATCTTAGGTTTAGCAGCTGTCCGCATCTGGATGGTGGGGCACAGCATCATGCATTGGGCTGGCATCAGTGCACGGCAGTCCGGATTGGGACCGGGTCTCGGCCTTCCTCCATGTGCAGTTGCCTTGGCTGTCTAGACGGGGAATGCGCCGGCCAGAATTCCTGCCGCTGATTCGGAGGCAGGTGCTGCTGGAAGGGCCGCCCACTGCTGTTGGGGTGCAGCTGGGTGAGAATGACCTGTGTGGCCATGGACTGTTTTTCGCTACGTGCTGCGATTTTGGGTGACCTGGAGACGCTGCGGGCAATGGTGCCAACAGCAAAAAAAAAAAAAAAATTCTGGTCAAAGCTTTTGCAACGACGCATTTGGAGGGGCAGTCGTTGCCCAGCTGCCACTGAAAGGGCCAGAAAACTCATCAATTCTGCTGTTTCAAAAAAGATTTTTGAGCTGGGTGGAGATGTGATTTCCCACCCCGAGATTCTTTTTGAGAGGCCATCCTTTTTCCGAGCTGATGGCGTGCACCTTTCTGCTTCAGGGAATGAGGCTTGGATTGGTGCGGTGGTGGCCAAGCTGAGGTCTTGGTTTAATACAGCTGGGAGAGAACGACCTGGTGGCTATGGGCCGTTCTTCACTGCGTGCTGCAATTTGGACGGACTTGGGGACATTGCGGGCAATGGTGCCTACAGCAATGATATTTTGGTCTCAGCTTTTGCAACGATGCGTCTGGAGGGGCAGTCATTGCCCAGTCGCCACAGAAAGGGCCAGAAAGCGCATCAATTCTGCTGTGACACACCGGATTGCTGAGCTGGGTGGAGATGTGATTTCTCACCCTGCGATTCTTTTTAAGATGCCATCCTTTTTCCGAGATGATGGCGTGCACCTTTCTGCTTCAGGGAATGAGGCTTGGTTAGGTGCGGTGGCTGCCAAGCTGAGGTCTTGGTTGGGGCTGTGAGTGGTTTGGCGGTGAGCTGGAGGCTCCATGGCGGTTAGGCATTGGTTAATTGGTGCTTGGAGGGGTAAGTGCCTACCCCTCCAAATGATGCGGAAAGGGAATTCCGTTAAAGGAATCCAGGGGCTTGCCATTCTTTCGTCCTGTCCGTGGAGCCGGGCTTGGGCCGTGCAAGCCCCACCGGAACATGAGGGTGAGAAGTGTTGGATTGATTCCCAGCCTCATTTCTCACCCAATACTTGTTTCCCACGCTGGCTTCCGGTGGAGTCCGGAAGTGCCAGCTCTGTCCTGTGGGGGCAAGGACAGATAGTCACCAATGCCTAAGCAACCACTCACATTTTTTGTATTTGAATAAAGTTGTGGCCAAAATTATGCCAAAAACCTTAAACAAAATTGATGTGTGAAGTGTGTAATTATTTGGGGGGTGGCACTGTGGAACTCAACACGCAAAGCGTGTTCTCCCTAACAGAGAGCACGTGTTGCGGTTGGGGAACAGGCCGCCCAGCCATGACTAGGCAAATTAATCTGCAACCCTGGCCTTTAGGGTTAATCGGGTTGCTGGGGAAATATGATTGTTACCAATTTGGAGGAGGAGTCAGAAGTTATAAATAGAAGGGCCAGACGTAGGGACGTCCTCTTGGCCGTTTTGCATCGGATCACCCGCCCTCCCTCCCTTTAATAGGGGGGTTTTTTATTTAAGCTGATCGCTTGACCTTGCTATGCCTGTCATGGTGTCGTTCGCCTTGGTGCGGGGGCATGGTAGGAATTTTGCCATCTGGCTGATTGGCTGGTGCCATTTGGTTTTTGCCTACTGCGTAGCAAATCGTCACAACTTGTACGGTTGGCGGTTAGGCATTGGTTAATTGGTGCTTGGAGGGGTAAGTGCCTACCCCTCCAAATGATGCGGAAAGGGAATTCCGTTAAAGGAATCCAGGGGCTTGCCATTCTTTCGTCCTGTCCGTGGAGCCGGGCTTGGGCCGTGCAAGCCCCACCGGAACATGAGGGTGAGAAGTGTTGGATTGATTCCCAGCCTCATTTCTCACCCAATACTTGTTTCCCACGCTGGCTTCCGGTGGAGTCCGGAAGTGCCAGCTCTGTCCTGTGGGGGCAAGGACAGATAGTCACCAATGCCTAAGCAACCACTCACATTTTTTGTATTTGAATAAAGTTGTGGCCAAAATTATGCCAAAAACCTTAAACAAAATTGATGTGTGAAGTGTGTAATTATTTGGGGGGTGGCACTGTGGAACTCAACACGCAAACACTAATTATAATGGAATATTCTTTTATCTCTGTTGCAAAGAAACAAAGCACTGTCCTTTGGCATATGTAGCAGCAGTTTCTTAAAAGCAGCAGAACACATCAACACTCATGCTGGAACCCCTATTCTAAACCAATAGTAGAAATTATCACTCTCCCATCTCCTGTCTGGTATCCATGCACACACACATTCACCACTGCTGCTAACTCCATGGCAAGAAAAGGTTGTAAAGGGGTGCCATTTATGTTAACAGCAGCAGACTGGGCCTTGGCATTGAGCCTTGGCCCATTCATCCCTTTTTTATTTTTGACCAAGTCCTCTGAAAGAATGAGCTGCTGGCTGGGAACTAGAAGCAGAACCACAGATAGATGCCACGATATGGAGAGCCTAATGTGTAAAAACTGACTCCTTCACAGATACCACTGCAGCATCCCAGCAGTGATGCCCATGACCATGGTATTTTTCAGGTGCAAAATTGTGAGTACCCACAGCAGTATCCATAGATGGCTAGGGACACACACCGTGCCTTCCATGGGAAATTATGACTCAACAAAAATATAATTTCTTACAATGAAGTACAACATATATGCATGATACACTTTCTCTCTGTGTGTAAACATATTTTAGAAGCTGAGTTGTGAAGATGCATGAATCCAAACTTTCTTATACGACTTCCATTCCAGACTAAGCAAGAATGTATACGGCCTCTTATGTGTAGATGGAATCTCAAGAGAATAATTAAAACAAAAGATAACTTAGAAATTTCATGTGAAATGGGATTTCCACAATTTGTGCTCAAAAAGCATTTGTTAGAATTGAGCTACACTGAGCTCTATTCCTCTCCAGTGTCTGCATACATACTTTAAACTGATACTTTTATTCCGATGCCATAACCCAGAAGATCAGAAACAAATCTAACCTAACAATTTATATCATTACAAAACCACCTTAAGATTTATGTCCCAGTCAGTGACCTGCCATATTCACAGCTGCTAATTATTAACTATTTTAATAATCCCATGATTAACATGATGATATTCCCGCTATCTCATTGGCTGAAGAATGAAATACCGGCAAATGTAGAGAATGAGATGGTCCTAGTCATTCAATAAATCAATGGTTCCATACCACTGGGTGCCTTTTGTCTTTCATGCCATATCCTGGCAATAAAGAGATGATAGAATTACCATTTGTTTTCTTCGCAGCATGGCTTACATTAGCTGTGACCAAAGGAGAACAAACTTTTTGCACAACTTTCTTTTCCACACTTTTATTGAAATGATGCTGCTCAATAAACAGCATCTGTTTTCAGTTTGGGAAGGAGGAGGAAGGATCACTCTAAGTGTTTGCGATCATCTCATTCTCCCAGGGTACAGCAGATCGCAGAAACCTGACACTCTAAGTGGATATGCATGAAGTAGGCTTGTACCTATTGTAGAAACATGCTGACTCCATGGGAGGCAAATAATAAATTGGAAACTCCAGTACTGGACTGAGGCCAGAATACATACAGGGGACTAGTGTGTATTCCCACATGCAATACATATGTTGTTTTAAAATATCCCCCCTCCCACTTTTCCTGCTTGCTCCCCCCTTCCTCCACAAAATGAATGATGGTTGGAGTTCATCTTAAGGTCTCCTTAAATGAGACCTTTGGATCCAATTTTATGTCAATATCCTAAACATGTGATTGCTTGTTTTGCTTCACTTCAATGGAAACTTAGTTGCCAGCTGTGAAATTCTGCATTCTGTTCTAGTTTGGCACTCCAAATCCCTCCTCGGCAGCAAAGTTAGCAAGAGGCGTGTTTCTCGACTTAAGTTTGAATCCATTTTAAGCTTACGAAATTGTGCTCCATAGGTCTGCTGCAAATTAGCGGACAGGCAGGCAACCTTTGACTATACTGCAAATGCCATTGCAAAACAGCAGGTAGCACTTTTCTTTGTGGAAAATGCTGAAAACATGTATATGCAGCCTACGGGGAAAAGGAGATAACAGTTGTCTCTCTCTGTGTGTCACTAGTACATGTGGAAATCAACAAAACCAGACCCTACCTGCTCCAAAGGCAAAGAAGAAGCTCTTGTCAGTATTGTCTCTTAAGAGGGCTATCACTCTTTTCCCCATTCTCTCATTCCTCTTGTAGATGAGTTCCTGGCGGAAGTAGCTGTCAATTTCCTGTGCTGTAACCTGTTCATGTGGAGGAAGGGTTGTGTTGATGAAGTTAGGGAGCTGAAATGGAAATGAATAATAAGTGTCAGGAAGAGGTCATGCTAGGGGGAAAATAAAATAAACCTGGCTCATCAAAAGAAGGGTGTGATGGAACATGAAGTGACAGGGGGGAATAGGCCACTGTTTCCACATTCTGAATGCTGTTGGTTAGTCCATTAATCAAAGATACCCCCCACTTTCTCCCCATTTCTATCATTAGACATACATCATGCTTGGCTCAAAGGTAGCTGTTCCTTGTTGATTTGTGTGATATTCTTCTTTCTTAATCAGAAGTATTCAGTGATGGGTCATGTGCAATGAATTTTTTTTTAACATAGAATCATAGACATGTATTTCTTTTATAAAACATTTTGTTATATATAAAAAAAGAGAACCTCAAGTGTTCAGATAGAGAACCATACACTCTCTGGAACGGGACAGGGCTTACTTTATTATACAAATCTCTTTTAAGAAATCTATTGAAAATAAAAGCAATTCCCATCTCATAGTCCAAAGCATAGTACCTAGTACTCAAGGGAAACAGCCCGCTATTAGGACTAGTAGGAACACTTGTTTCTGTACATTGACTTGGCTATAATTGGATTCATACCATAGTTCTTTAAAAAGAGTTGAAAGTGATTTGGGAAAAGCATTGCTTCCGTATGTACAGATGTATTTCTTTTGTTCCCTTATGACCTCTGGTTCACAGGTTTTTGAAACAATATAGAAATATGTAGACCCTGTTCCCTAGAGGTGAGTGCAATGAATACATGTACCACAAGCCAAGATTCCTCTTTCAAACTCTCTAAAGAACTATTCTCTATCTTTAGCCTCACATGTTCAGAAGATAGATTCAAGTCTTTCTTGCAGGTGGCTTTGGGGACAGAGTTAAAAACCAGAAAATCTTTATCTGTAAGCCATCAAATGGGCTGAAACACAGCTGTGGGGTTCTTTTTTTAGTATCTGAAGTGCCCACCTGATAAGGTATGTGCTACCCTGATTAAGGAATGGTGTCTAAAGGGATGTTTACCTATGAAATCCTGCCTGGAGAAGGAGAAGGAGAAGGAGTTGACAACACTGGACTATAACAGGGGTAGGCAACCTATGGCCCATAGACCACAAGCGGCCCACAGGGGTCGTTTAACCGGCCCACGAGCCGCCCCCAAACTGAGCCGCCCACTTGGTGAGTCCCCGCGCACTGCACTAAACTGGCGCAGCACAGCATGGGGACTCACTCTGCAGTGCCGGAAATCACGTCTGTGAATGCGCAGACACCAGAAATCACACACACCCAGCACATAGAGGGATCTCCACTGGAGTGAACCAGCCCAGGCGAGGTAAACCTTGCCAACCCCTGGACTGTAAGTAGAATTAGGCAGGCAGAAACAAAAGGATGTAAACATAGTAAATGAACACCAATTACAGTAGATCTTTGGTGAGACAAGGACTGTGCTCCAAGCTTGGACTAGGCTCAAATAAATTATGCTTGGGCACTGCTCTCATGTAACAACGCATGCTCAAGCTTAGTGTTCTAGTGAATCAAAACAAAGTAGCTACTGAGAGCACTTTATATACCTATAAGGAAAGCATACAGTAAGTACTAAAACATTTAAAAGACAAAGCTGTCCAATCACACCATTTTTTAAAATGAATACACTGCTGTTCTCATGTGTGCTGAAACCTAGTGCTAACAAAGGTCAGAAAAATATCGCATTTTATAAATTTGCTGTAAAATATATGACATAGAAGACACCTGCTTGTGTGATTTATAGACCTTTAAAACTTCTGGGAGAACTGTTTATGGTTATTTCAGGCTGCAACAAGGAAAATAAAGGTGGGAAGTGTGGGACTGTGTGATTATTAAAGTGACAACTGCTGCTGTTGGCTCAACTGTTTCAGCTTCAGGATGTGAGCTTACATAGGGAACTACTCCTCATTAAACAAGACAAGAAGTGGGTAATTAATTATGCATATGGGCCAGAGTTTCCAGACTGACCCCAACCTCCCAGCTATCTATACAGAAATATCTGTGAGAGAGGGGAGTGTATTTTCCAGGAAGTTGTGGAAAACAGACTAATATGTTATGTTTAACAGGACAAAACTGGGTAACATTAGCAGGACTTGGAGCATTTTGGTTCAAGGACCAGTGGAGTTGCTTCGTAGGTAGCGTTGGGAAAGGATCACTTCTCCATCTGTAAAATACAAATAATAGTGGCCTGACTCTCAGGGTCATTGTGAACTAAAAAGTTTGCAAATAAATTGTGCTTAGGAAATTAAAATGAGAAGCAGGGGACAATGCTTTTCAAACTGATTTTTAAAAGTTTCCATTATAATGCAAAGTGCAGCTCTAGAAGCAGAGATGACAAGGAAGGGAAGGAATAATGGCAGTATGGAATGTCAGAGGAAAAGGAGAGAGAATTCATGGCTATTGCAGCTATATAAATTGCATAGTGTTATTTGTGAGAGATTTCCAAATGGGCTGGCCATTTTGGCTTTGCAGGGAATCATTTTATTAAAATATATACCACATGCAGGATACAGCTAACAGCATTATCTTTTGTTTCTCCCTGAAGTGCAGGCTACAGCCCTATTCTGCAAAATAAAGAAAGCAAAAACGATCCAATCTCTCCAGTTTGTATAGTGCAATTCCTTGGGAGTTTACACACCCACTCCCAAACCTAACAGGAGAAGTGCAAGAAAGAGAGCTTGGGTTTTCATTGAGTCAGCATTTCCATGACTTCAATGGGTTTTCCATCACAATTTTCTGCTGGCACAGCTAAACACTCCATATTGTGAAGGTGGTGGACCTAAAACTTTGCTTTGCATTGCAGCAGAGGAACAGGATAATGATACTCCCTTGGTTATATATTGATATCCTATATATATGTACCATTTGACTTTAAAAGAAGAATGTAAATATACCATGTGTATTTTTGTGGAATCTAGGCCAATGAAAGACAAAGACACACACACACAGCCCGCACATGCCAACAGAAAAACAGCCACAAGACAACTCTGTGGGCAGGGGTAGCCGATTCACATAGCAGAAGACCTCATTTGGTACCCAAGTTCAATCTTGGCCAAGCCTTGACCTGAGGCTTACCATCAGGGAACTCTTGTCTTTGCCCCAAACATTTTGCTACCTGAGGCAGAGCAGTAAATGCCACTCCCAGCTCCAAGTCAAGGTAAACAGTACTCAAGGTCAGCAAAGTTGTTTGGGCACTCAAGGCAGAAAATCCCTCAAAACACCTCTTCCCCCTCCCTGGAGATAAAAAATATAAGAACAAAATATTAAGGATGCTTCCACATTGTCATTATATTGCAGGAGGGATTCAATCACATACCAGCAAATGTAGGTTTGCACAGTTAAAGTGGATTACAGCACTCTTACGTGACAAAGCCACTTTTAAAAAACCAGCAATTTTTTGCAATAAGGAAAGTGATGGGGGAATGTGTGGGGTAGTGAGCCTTTTTCTCCACACAAAGACTGAATGCTCCATAAACAGCAGACTGTGCTACATGCTGTATGATTTTTAATTGTAACAGCTGGTGCTGTTTTGTGACCAACTTTTGGGATTATGTAGAAAGTCAGTAGCAGTCCTAGCTGCAGATTTCCACATCTGATTCCCGACCCTTTCTTATTTTTGGTATCCTCAGAGTCATCGCCATTGCATTTCAAGTCTTCAAGAACTGAATGTACATCTTGTGAACACCTTGAGGGAAAATCTCTCTCCTCTTCCTCCCCACTCCCATCTCTCACACACACTATTAAAGAGATATTCAGTAAATCCCTGAGAAATCATAATCTCTGTGTAATTTTTGTATTTATCCTATAGCACTACAGTACTTAAAAAGCCACTTTTCGAGCAGTTTTTTTAAAAAATGAGGGTGGTGGGGAAAGTAACATCATCCATTTTGTAGGAGTGGAAATCATGTGGTCCTCTTCTCTGTCTGAATTTTGTATAACTCCCTGCATTTCAGTTTAAATGAAAGTTTCAACAAAACATAGTTGGAAAATAAGGCATATGGTCCGTCTTCACACACACACACACACACACACACACACACACACACCCTCTATCTATAGCATCAGTCAACAAGTCAGGTATGATGGTGCTAGCCCAACAAAACTTGTACAAAACCACAACCCAAAGGAAACCAAAGGAAAAAAGATAGTCATAAGTAAGTTAATTAAAAGTTCCATTTATTTCAATCCCTTAGTCATAACTAACGTGCATCAGACTGTACTATATGCACTTCAGAACATGCAAATAAAAGATTAGAATATAGTTTTGAGAGTTGTAATCAATATTTAAACAAGATATTTCCTAAAATCTCATAGTTGTGATTTTTGAATGAGACCTTTGAGAGTTTTGAACATGTGGAAAAGTTCAAATAATTCTTTTCTTATTCCCAAACCTTTGTTGTCTTTCACAAAAAAATTGATCCATTCAAGTTGGCAGAAAATTGGAACATAAGCTGCTCAAAGAGAGAATGTGGCAATACAGGGGAGAACTTGTGGCTAGGAAGCTATTTTTATGTACCCTAGGAAAAATGTAATTATATTTCCAAAGACATTTCTCTCGATGGACCCCATTCCCATTAAAAACAGGAGAACAGTAGATGAGGTAAGTCAAGGAAGGATGCTTCCTTGCTCGGAGTGATGTCTGATTTAGCCAGGAAATCGGTATGTTCTCTGTCCCCGCCCACCACATCAGATTTGCTGCTGGAAGGGATGCTTGCGTCTGTTTTTCAACATGGATTTGTAAAAAAGCCCTCAATCCAGTTCAATCCATATACGAAGTAGAAAGAAATTAATATTAATAATAATATCCAGGAGTGTGCAATCCACCCAGTCGATAAACTGGGGAAGAAACAGAGGAAAGTTAGTTAGTTATTTACTTTATTTGAAGAATAATTTCAACCAGGTAGCTATGCCAATGATCTGGTGGACATGTGTTTTTCTGTTCCGTTGCACAGGCGTGGTCTTAGGCTTGATTTATTCTAGCACTAAAACACTT